TGAAGAAAAGCAACTTTCCTTCCATTAGCAAAATTTAATTTGAGGTGGTTTGCTCGGTAAAATGAAAAAGAAGTCATTGCAACCAAATTGTGTAATATTACTCTGCTGCTGGAGGGAATTGTTAACAAGGAAAAATATTTTGAAGTGCAGGAGGAGTTCACATTGATCAGATTCTCTGGAAACAGTGCTCTGTACAAGGAACCAGAAATAATGTAGTTTCATTTTGTATTTCTAATATACACTCCCAACGCTGAACAAAAAGCTCTGAGAAGTCTGACAGTTGACTGAAAATATTTGGTCGAACACGAGCTTCTACTGTGCTGAACGTCGTGTCTGTTCCATTCAGTTTTGGAGGTAAAATGTTAATAGAAAAAGGCAAAATAAAAATGAAGCAGGAATTGTGCTGAAACCAATGGTTATTCTCTAACAATTAAAGCTTTTGTGATCTACATTATGGATTATTTTCCCCCTCTAAACAGGATGCTGGAACACCATGGGGGTAATATAAACAGACACTTCTCCTGAACTCTTGGAAGGAATTTTCATAGAGTGAAATTTCAGGCTCTTAAGTCTGAGTTGATTGCCTTCTAAGGTGGGAATGGGCATATACAGAGGAGTCTTTCTTCTGGAAAAAGTGAATGAGCAAGATGACTTTATGGATCTTGACATGATTTTAAAAGCACAGGGATGCCAGAATTTCACCAGTCATAGCAAACATACAGAGGGAAATGCAAAATGACATTGGAAGAAAAACAACAACGTGGACTTACTTAACATAACAGTGAAACCACTAGAAGGCTGTAGATTGAAGAGAGTGGGCATTATATGGCCTTTATGTCACACAGCTGAGATGCACCATCTGACTGTATGCCAAAAGAGGCAACAGGCAAATTGATATTCCAGGGTTTGTGTTGTGGTCTTACAGCCCTTAATAGGACTTTTGTTTTTGAAGCGGATGTTCTGGGAATCAGGAAGGAGCCAGTTGTACTGATGCAACCTAGTTTGCCTCCCACACTCCACAAATTGCAGCACTTCTGTGCTTTCTGGCTCCCATGATCAGTGATGGAGTTTGGTGCTTTCGGACTGTGGATTTAGTGGTTTTATACCGTTCTCCCTTTTAGGGAGGATACAACTTCATATGGAAAACATTATGTTAACATTTCTCTACCCTGTCCCCTACCAAACTAACAACAACATACCTTGTACTGAAGGTCAAACATAGTCAATGCTCTGTTGTTATGTGCAGTGAAGTTAGCCTTGATTTATAACAACACCATTAATGAGCAATCTCCAAAATGTCCTATTCTCAACAGTCCGGTTGAGTTCTTGCAAAACTGAAGCCTTAATCCTGGCCCACCACCTGGCCCATGGGTGGTGGGCCAGGATCCAGAGCAGCTGGTGCTGGTGGTGGATCCAGATTGGGGTCTCGAGGCACCTCTGTGCCCCCTTCTGCTGCCACTCCCATTTTTTTTTCTCTCTCTCTCTCTTCAGTTTGGACACTCAGGCCGAAAAAGGTTTGTCACCACTGGTCTAGGTTATGTGCAAAGCTCTCCTCAAGCACCACATTTCAAACAAATTATTATTTTCCTGTCAGTTCTCTGAACTGTCCAGCTTTCACACTCATGCATGGTGATTGGAAATATAATAGTGTGGAGAATCTTGGTCTTGGTCTCCAGTGACACATCTTTACACTTGATGATCATAGTTCATTCATTGTTGCCTTTCTGAGTCTCAATTGGTATGAAACGGCCCTCCTTCCAGTAACCGAGCCTGCTAGTCACCCAATTGTGTGCATTCACAGAGGCCACGAAGAAGAAAGACAGGTTACTTACCTGTAACCATGGTTCTTCAAGTGGACCTCTGTGAATTCACACATCCCACCCAGCCTCCCCACTATCCATCACTGACTATGTCTCTGCTAAGCACAGGCTATTGTGCCAGATAAATGGAATTGAAGGCTGAGGCGGGTGGAGCATGTGCGATAGGAGCAACTCTAAACTTTGTTACTTTTCTATAAAAGCTCTAGAAGATTCTGAGAAGACCAGTGCAGGCACTGTCAAAACCCAATTGTATGCATTCATAGATGCCATGAAGAAGAACCTTAACTTTTCTAATTGTCTTCAGTAAGTGTGTGGACTAACTCAGGTACAACGCAGCAAGATTGGATCATTTGATGATATCATTGCCATGGTTTTTTAAAATGGAGTTTTAATTTTTAACAAATATTCTAGTATGTTACTATTTCATTTAAATTGAATTCAGATGTTTAAAAATAATGATTATGTTCTAAGTTGTAAGTTGCCCCAGCACCAGAGAAAATAAAGCAGCCTTAACATGTAATCAAGGGTCCTACAATCAAGGCTTCTGTCTTTATAATGGGCAACAGGGCAAATCGTGGTTCAGGAAGGTGGGGAGAAAAGCTATGGAGGCAGATCTCAAAATGTAACAGAAGTCTAAACCAACTTGCCCACCTGAAGCTTCTGTATTTTTGAGTACCTTGGCACTTGTTAACCTTGTTAGCCATTTGAATTCTCTGTTCCTCACACTTGGTTCTTCCCCTTTCCAGTTGGCAGGAATTGTGCCTTCTTGACTGTGGTTCCTACCTTATGGAATGGGCTCCCAGAGTAAGTTCACCAGGCCTCCTCCCTCCCTCCTATCATTTAAGAGGAGGCTTAAGACTCTGTTTCAGGAAGCTTTAAAGAGCATCCTCTTGCAATGTAGTTATTTAGTTAATCCCAGAAAATTTCCTGCATTATTTGTCAATGTATTTGCACTTTCACAACAGAATTTGTTCCATCATACACACAACTTTATACAGCAATATAAATATCATCTCTCTTCCAATATTCTGTATACACCTTTCCAGTATTCAGCAATATTGATACAATCTCCTGATAGTAGTGTACCAGATGCAGAGAGAACTATTAATTTATAACGTGCCTGTCAAAATGTATATGGATTTATTTTAATTTCATTATATGTAACAAAAAGTTAACATCATTAAGTAAAATCTAAAGATGACATAAACCTGGAATTTATTTGAAAATGCTTACCCTCATGGTCATTAATGAAGCACTTCATAAGGAAATCTGGACATCCCTTTGGTGTAGGGAAACAAAAGACATCAGTTATTTTCACCCAACTCTAATAGTTTCTGCTTTTGGAAAGAGTGCTGGCTGGAAAATTATTCCTTATCCATCAGTGCTAGAGAGGCATGCACAATACTGTTTGACACTGTGATGTTTATAAAACAAAATTCGAAAAGTTTCCGAATTCCAGTGTGGTTTATCATAAAGATCCTATTGCTGCAACATTGCAATAAGGTTCAAACTTCTGTCTCACATCCATAGATTCAAACATAGTCCCAAATATGTCAATTAAAAAAAATGATCTAATAAATAATTGTTTTTTCCTCACCCAACATATCTAACAAGATATCCTTTTACATGGCATACGTTCTCATGCCTAGATGAGACACAGCTTAATAATGTCACTAGATCTGCCAAGATTTGCAGGGCAAATGCTTATAGAAAATCTCAGACCTTACTGGCATTTCAATATTCCAGCCTTGCCATTTTGCTTGTCAGTGGGTCACTGATGCCCACCAAACTGAGCACAGATTTTCTCATTTGTTATATGCTTTGTCCCATAGATGTTACAACTTCCAAAATTATTAGTTGCAGCTGATATCTCTGAGAGCAATGTACAATTTTTAAAAATGGTATACAGTGTTCTTGAAATCTGTACTCTGGGTTAGGAAGCTTATTTTGGGGCTTGCATTTGGATCTTTATTATTTGTTTGGGTATTTGTTATGTGCTGTCAAATCACCTTCAACTTACAGTGACCCTATGAATAAGTGATCTATAAAATCCTCAACCATGCTGCTGAGCTCTTGTAAACTGAAGCCTGTGGCTTCCCGGATAAGAGTTACTCCATCTTGTATTTGGTCTTCTTCTTTGCCTGCTGTCTTCAATGTTGTTTCCAGAGATTCCTGCCTTCTCGTGAAACGCCAAAAGTAGGACAGCTTCAGGATCAACATTTTTGCCTCCAGAGGTAGTTCAGGCTTGATCTAGGACTCAGTTTTTTTGGTCTTTCTGGCAGCAAAGGGTATCCACAAAGTTATCTTCCAGCACATTTCAAACAAATGATTTTTTTTCTTCTCAGCTTGTGCTGACACCATCTATGTGGAATTAGGCTTTAAATGCCACGTCATCTAACAGCTTTCATGTATGCTGCATCAATCATGTACATGAATCATGCAACATATTTATGTACTCTTTACATAAATATAATGGTCTGTATTAATTCTTTCACCTGACTTAACTCCAGAGAACAATTTATTAAATACAAAACAACTTCTGTTAATATCTATGACCCATTAAATACTTGTTCTCAGTGCATGAGGCTTGGTACCATGCTTAAATTTTTCTTGTGAGTTTAAGCAAGGAGTAAAACCCACTTAGAGATATTTGGAAGATTTTTAAAAAGTAAATGATTGCTCTGATGCTTTTTGGATTTAAAATTAATCATTTTCTGTCAGGGTGGGCAAGAGGGAGGCCGAAACATGGCCCCCACCTGGGGCTCAATTTTTTAAAGGACCAGTTAGGCCACTCTGAACCTCTCTTGTTGAGGACCTTTCCCTTACTTTCCTTTTATCTCCCCATCCTACCTCAGCTCCTGGAGGTATTCAGGAGCTTCAGATTTGGTGTAATTCCCCCATTTCCCACAAAATCTTTCAGCCTTCTCTAACAACAGTGGACATCTAGCAAATTCCGGTTTAGACTCCCCCCCCCCCAGGGATGATGCAGCCCACAATGCATTCCAGGGTAGAAAAACAGCTGTGTAACCTGTTCACCACTGTCCTATGTCATCAGCCACTTAAGAACATAAATTAAATCAGCTTTGCATCTTTATGTTACTACTGATTTCACTAAAGTATTGCAGAAGCATTACAATACAGAAGGACACACACCTTCAAAAGAACAAAATACATAATTCATCCTTGCAAATTACAGGTCTTTATTAATTTACACAAAATTTAATTGCTTTCAAATGTACTTTTGGTTGACCATAGGCAAAACATTTCAATTCAGCATAGATTCTTCTGGCAGAAATAGAATTGTTCTACTCTCATTCAGAAGTTTTGGGAGTCTGATTAGACCTTTATCAAATGAATTCATCAAAAAGATAGATGAAAACCAAGACATTCAAGGAAATTAATATGTTCAAATGTACCTTTAAAAGAAAAGACATTAATGGTTTTACAATGATGCAAGTGCATTTTAAATCACTGCAATGCAATGGTACTTCCTCAGAATACATTGAAATAAATTAAACACACGTACCATTTATTAATTTGATTTTAGAATCTGTAGCATTAAAAGTGTTTAATGTGAGGACACTTGGTTTATAAAGTTTTATTAAGCTGTCTGAGGACTGTGGACAAGCAGAGGACTGAGCCTGGACATCAAATATCACCCTACCTGTATCTTGTGTTAATGAAGTAAAGAGCAATGCAGGGGGTTAAGCTGTAGCTGCTATGCATTAAAAATTATTCCATAACAGCAAGAAAGCATTTTGGCATGATAGCACAGCTCTAAATATAGACTGTACTTCTCATGCAATTTTCACACTCCCAAAGAAGTTCGCCTTTGTGCCTCTTAAGTATTTTAAGGTATAACACAGCATTCTTTTAAAAGGTGATTCAAAGGAGAAAGCATTTAAACTGTGGATCTGGGGGCGGGGGAAGAGAAATGGATGGTTACTGAAGAACAGCACAGGTTCTAAACAGAAATATTAGTGGACTAGAAATATATAAATGAATGTTGTATATTTTAAAATCAAATAGGTCAATGAATAAGTTAAAGAATATTTAATTCAAACAATGGCTGCTTTCATTTACAACTAACCCAATGTACATATATGCTCTATTATTTTCACATATGCTAAGAACCTACCTTTTCTCTCTCACAGAGATTTACAAACAAGTATGGACTTTCCTACAAGACTGTCATGGGCTGAAGGCTTTATAACAGTTATTTTCATTCTTAAATGCAAAACAAAACAAAAAAACCCATCAGAACTAAAATAAGATCATTTAAATGAACTCCTTTCCTGAGCAACTTAGAATTTGGAATGTGCTAAAAGTCACAATAAATAAGTCAAAAGATCAACAAACTTAAAATGTGCTTCTAAATTCTTTAAAGTAAATTATAAAAATCTATCTCATGACTGATAAACGGGCTGTTGTGTTAGAAATCTCAAAAGCTTATGTGCCAAATAAATTTATGAAGTACCTTCCTGGAAGTAGAGGCCAAGTTGCTTGTACAAAAAATATACAACATTAAAACCCAGCAAGTAAATCACCTGACAGTTGTTGCTTTTAACATTGCAAAGTGTTCATGGCAAAGAATAATATTAAATAGAATGATAAAAATAGATTTAAGCAGCAGTGTAACTGCAGTGAAAGTGTACATGTTAAGTGACCCAGGACTCTTGCAATATAGATACAAATTTGAACTTAAAACAATGATACCCATAATATGAATATTAATTTGCTTCCCAAAACAAAACAATTCCACAGTGTGTAAACTAACTGTTACTCTTTAAATGTAATTTCACAGAAACCACTTAAAATATACAATGCAGCATCTTGGTTAAATATTATTTTACTGTTCCTGTGTGTTCCTTTGAGTAGTGCATTGGAACCACAAAATCAGGATGCCAGTGACAAAATAATCCATCTATGATGTTGTTGATCTAACAATATGTATTCAAATCCTGCTCATACAGTTTAAAAACACACGACAGATAATGATGGTTTGCAGTGTTAGTTGATGCCCACATGCTCTAAGTAGGGAATCTGCCTAAGAGTTGGTGGGAAAGAAAATATCAAAACAAGATGCAGTACCTCTGATATATTTAAAAACAAAACATAAACCTATCCAAGCCTTGTTCCCAAGAGTAGTAATATAATACTCCCCATTGTACATTAGTTGTAGACTGTAGTACTCTGGCTAACATTCTAAGTTTGATGAAGGCACTAGTGAGTCTTTACTTTGTTTTATGCCAGAATACCTGCCCTTGGCTAGATACTATGGTCAAACATCTGCCACCAAAAAGGCAGAGCTGATAGCACCTGAAGAGACTATAGTTAATCTTTTATTTTTTTTTCCCAATGAATCACAGAATGCATTTCTGTTTCTCTTAATTGGCATCTGAGTTTTCTTTAGTCCAAAATATTTGAGAGATATTGGTGATATGCTTCTGTTTTCCATTAGAAAATCCTTTGATCAATCGCATAAACTGCTCATAGTATTACAGGTATTTTCTTCCCTTCAGTAAAAGAATAGTTTTTCCTACTAAATATATTTGAATATTCCTGCTCCTTTCCTTGAAGACATCTGTCTAATAACATTCATGGACATAATAAGACAGAAGAATTTCTTCTGGTAAAGAATTAACCTCCCATGCTTTCCCATAGTTCAATTTCAACAACTTGGGGAGGGGGGATGGCAAATTCCACATTGTCCTTTCTGTCTTTCAGTCATTTCAAATGTCACTATACTTTGAAGTACCCAGATATTTACTACATCATTGCCTTAACTTCTCATTCCTCTTGTACTGTTAATACTGCCCTTGCAAGACACACCTACAGGGAAATGTAGTGTGCTTTTTTCATAATCCGATGGTATAGTGGCAATTTACTATATTAGCACAACAGCATTCCCTATTCATGTCATCACACAAAGCTCCCTATATTCTGCTATTCAGGTGCTCCACTGAGATTAGAATAGATTTGGTATAAATACTAGTTGAGGCAAAGAAGTTTTGAGAAAAATGCAAATGACTTACACTCTGTTCTACATCACTTTGCAAGTAGGCATGGCATACAGCAATATTTTACAACAAAAATGTTAATTGTAAGAAGAAAAGAGATGACACGTCTATGTCCTTGCTACTAGGATACAATGGGGTCAAGGAAAACAAAAATAATTTTATTCATATAAACTATTCCTAGCAGGTGTCTCACTCTATATCCATTCAACTTGGAGAATATGTCTTTTTAAATGCTGCTGTGCATGAACTCAGTTCTTTTAGAAATTTTCTTAACAGTTTCTGAAAAACCTGGCAACACAAGGTAGAAGAAAATGTAGTCCTTGCATCATCTTTTATAGATGTCTTCCAACCACTTTTCGTCATCTTGTTCCTCGTCTTCCGGTATGGGCTCTTCTGTTTCCAGAGGAGAAGGAATGACAAATTCTGGTCTAGGAGAAAAGTTAGTGTTTGAAGATCTGAGTCCAAACTTGCGCTTCAGCAAGTGAAACTGTTCTTTGACATAATAGTAAAACTCATATTCGTATCTCATGCGCTGGTACAGGATTTGTAGGGATTCTGGAGAAGGGACGGTCTTTTTCACTGTCACAGTTAGATTGCCGAGTTTCCTGTGTTCTGTAAGAGATTTGCATAAAGGGGAATTTGGTCAGCATCTACAAACTGAATACAAGATATTGAAAAGTGCTTGTTCTTTTAGTTTTTTAAATGTTACTTTGTGAAAATTTCTTACTAATCTTCATCTACTTTCTCCTGCCATGAACATGGCCCTTCAAGCAAACAGCAAAATGTGTAGAAGATTGCAGATGCAATCTTGTGGACACCTTGCTGCCATAATTCAACTGTTATCATAACTCCACTTAATAGAGAAATGGCCAGCTCTCAGTATGTGCTTTTAAGCAAAGAAACATACACTGAAAGATATTTTTGTGGATTTGCCATTTCTAGAGTATTAAAATTAATGTGATGTTATTTTCCTTCTTTTTTATGTTGCCTTATATTGACAGATCTCAAGGTGGGGTACAGTCAATAAAACTGCGTTAAAAGGAAATAATACAATCTAAATTTTTGAAAACAGTTAATTGAAAAAATATCAGAACAATCAGGAGGCGGAGCTTGATCGCAGTGAAGCCAGCAGCTCCCGGCAACAGCTCCTGGGAAAAGTTGGAACTGCCCGGTCTGGCGTCCCTCTAGAAAGGGGGGGATGGAAGGGGAGGCCAGGAGAGGTCACCCCGAAGCAGATGGTGAGCCCAGAAGGTAGAAGATTTGGCAGCAACAGGGTCATTCTTCTCCCTGAAAATTTACCCAAGCACAGACCAGAGACGGGAGGCCATCTTATGGCAGAAAACTGTGTGAAACTCCACCCCCAAATTCCCGAGGAAGGAGAAGAGAAATACAGCCGAAAATACACAATAACAAAGTCAGCCTTTGATTTATGAATAACCTTATTAAGATGTAAGAAACTAAAGGGAAAATACCTGACCGAAAGGAGAAAGAGGAAGCGGTGAGCCGTGCCTGCCACCTTGTTTTTTCAAAGTGAATACAATATATATAAGGAATACAAAGTTGTTTTTTGCATTGAAAAATGAACAGATCAGAGGCATGTATACCTAATATGAATAGATTGGATGATTGTATACTCTGTGTTCTCCTATCCTCAAAACCCTTTCCCCATTCCTTACATTCCCTTTTACCTTTTGTATTCCCTACCCTATTCCTAGTAGTTTAAAAATAAAAAAATTAAATAGAAAAAATAAAAAACCCAGAACTATCTGATAATTAAAACAAGATTAAAACAGGCTGTAATGTCTGTGCTTACCAAATGTTTGGAGGAACAGCCATATTTTAACCTAGAACTGAACTAAAATTTATTTATTTATTTATTGGAATTTTACCCCGCCCCTTTAGACCATGTCTACTCGGGGCAGCAATATTGCCATGGACTGGGCTTCTAAAGGGAAGACTGCACCATGACTGACAAAGGCCTCACCCAGGTCTCCACCCAATGTAGTGCTCTCAGTGGTGGAATACAGTATAGGGAAAGTTAACCTCAGCAGATCTTGATGATCAGGGAAATATATGCAGGTATAAGAGCTCCCTCAAATATCCATGTTCAAATGTCTAATACTTGGGCCTTGTGTGGTTGTTCTACTTTGCCTGACTACTGGGAGAAAAGTTCCACTGATATAACTATTTTTTTGGAGGGGGAGAGTTAAATCTCCCCAAGCCACAGCTCTCATCCAGCCAGGCAGCTGTTTATTTTTAAAAACCAACCAGGCAAGAAATAAAGACATGAATAATATCATTCAGTTTGGCCCTGACCCTGAAAGACTCCCATGGAATATATCTGAGGAATGAAACCTCCCTATGGAATGTTGCATTCTATTTTAATAATTAAAGCAAATTAGATGTTCCCTTGTCAACATTTTTTTCACACACTTCCCAATATTAATACCCATTTCAACAATTTTCTTTTAAAAAATTGTCCTATCCCTGAAAATGAGGTTTACCTTTCAAAGGAATAAACAATACATTTCTGCCTATCAATCTATGCAATTTAGTTGTTCTTTGTGAAAAGGCAAAAGGCCACACCCATAACCACAAGCCCCCTGGGCTCTGGGCTATATATAAGCAAAAGAAGGGATCTTGGCTTAATTGAGTGCATTACTAACCTCCACCTTATTAGAAACCTCGTTTTGTTTACCTTACTTTATACCCACTTTAAATGACCCTTTTAATAAAAATCTGAAGAAACTCACAAATTTGCTCCTTGAAGTTACCCACCCCAACTCCTCATTTATCAAATGCACATAATGGAAAAATTATGCATGACTGGCTCTGTGCCAGACTAAACATTCTAAAAACACTGTGTAAACCCAGCTGTTCCAGTGGAAGACGGGAGACCCACACTTTATGACCTTCTAGACAGTGAGCCATATGGAGGGCAACAAACTGCACTATTTACTTTTGAGACTTTATTTTGTTTTACAGTGTTTTCCTTGGCCTTCATATTGCTTTAAAAAAAGTATATGGCAATACTATGTCCAGGAGATGCTTAAAACCCATTGAAGCACAGTCTGTATGTTTGAAATCCATGCTGAAAACAGCAGGGTGGGAAAGCCACCTCTTGAAATGTTTGTCGTGCAAAGTTAAACACAAACATTCCTTTTTTATATGCTATAGCAGTGGAAAACCAAAGGTAATACCATACTATATGCTAACCGTATATCCTTTCTCTGGGAAAGAGTTGATTAAAAAAAAACCCTTCACACACTCACAGAACCATCTGTAACATGGGGAATGCTGGGGCTCTTTGAAAATTACACTATTTATTTCCACAATATCAAAATGGTATCAGTGCATTGTGATGGTATCAGCATTGTTCAATGTATAGCATGCATGTATTTACTGGAGAAATGAATATTTCAGAGCCTTGGCTTTTATAGGGTCCTTAGAATTTATTTGTATTTTACTCTCAGGTTGGGCAAATATTTGGGAAATCATAGATGCAGAGGGCAAATGCCAGTTTGAAAAAGAAGAAAATAGAAATACACATAAAATTTTATACGCACTGGCTGCAATTGCACATAATGCAATTCCCATGATTTATTCAGCTTTACTGTGATTTCTTTGCCCACTTCAGACAACTAACTATGGTCATAGTTTATAAACCAGAATATGATATCATGGGTTAGAAAATGGCTCACAATTTTTGGCTTTTGTTAGCTGTTGCTTTTTGTTACTAAACCTACCTTCTTGGCTTAATTTGAGTGCTGAGCAGGAAACACCTATATGACTAAGGAAAGGCTTATGCAGACAGGGCAAAAGTTCCACCCGAATTGGTTATGGATGATTGCAGTTTGGTGTGAAAGAGAACAAGGCTAACCAGGATTCATGGGTGCACTGCACTACACTGCAAAAAACAACCTCTTGTAGAACTGTTTCTGGATAGGGTAACTTTGAAAAAATATGAGAGAAATGTGAAGACATTTCCTTCTGGAGCTATTTTTTTGTGGTGGTGGTGGAGCGGGAGTTAACTGAAGGCTTGATTAATAGCTTCCAACCAGAAAACCCTGGCTGGAAAATGAACCTGTCTTGGAAAGCAGCACTACAGGTCTAAAATTTGCCCTTGGGGAAAAAAAAATGTTTTTGGTTAAATCCTCAGGATTTTCTCGTTGATCATACCAAATTAAGTCTTTTAGCATGTGGATGGTGGTAAAAGACCAATACAATCAGCACTGAAACAGGTACAATATAGACCCCCCCCCAAAAAAAAACGACAACATCTGCCTGCTGAGGAGGAGCTTGGAACCAACTTGCATACTGCGGTGGTCTCCATCTAAGAAGTGAACCTGGCCTCAACATAATCAGCCATGTGAAATTGGGACATTAATAGCAGAATATGAGTTTGGAACTACCCACAAGAACTTGATGCACAGCCTTGAGATGATTTATCATAAAAACTCACTGTTTTTGTTTGTTTGTGTTATATTTTTAATGGTCGATTAAAGGTATTCCCTGTTCCTACATTTGTACTGTTTCCATGACCATGCAGCCTTTTCCTGATTTTTTACGAAAAGAAAGTTCTATCTGAACAATCTCTAATTCTCATGGAAGTCTTTTCGCAACTCCCCAGTCTCCTCCCTTTCCCTGTCTATTTCTTCAGTGTAAGCTTCCTGTGCTGCTACAGCTATCTGAGTAAAACAAAGATAAATGGAACTAGCGGGAAAATCACTAACAGTTATCCAAGCATACATGTTGAAATTCATTATCTCTGCATTCTATGCAAATTAGTCTATTTATACAAAAACATACTGGAAATGAAAAGAACTGCAATGGTAATCTAGAGATGGAACACATTAGGTTTTTTTTTTTACTACAATCTCAAGAGTAGCACAATCCATTGACCTGCTGATAGGGTGTTCTGGCAGCTGTATTCCTAAGATTTTCCATCTCTGATCTACCAGATAATTAAACAGCAGGAACAATATATAATAACAGAAGACATTAAAGCCATGAACTCAGTGTCCTGAATTCTACTGTTTATTTGCACATCTATAACAGAGGACACAGATTTATACTGACCACACATTGCCTGTATGCCTATTCAGGGGATGGCTTCATGCATGGCACCTGATTAGAGAATCACTGCTAGCTGCAGTAACTTCCACATTTCCTCTTACACCTAAGGATTCTGGTCAGTGTAACTGATGGAACCATCAGCTTTAAAAATGGTGAACAGATCAAATTAAAATGTAACTCTCTAAGTAGTGGGAGATAATTTTTAATTGTGTGGGAGATCATAAACAAACCTATTAAACTCATGCAGTAAATAATAATCATAGGAAATCAAACTGATACACTTAATTCAACATCTCATAAGGAACCTTACTTTTTTGTGATATATATATACATTTGTTTATATTAGCATTTAAAGAAGCATGCGTTTTCACATGATTATTGCAGCTTCAGTGTCAAAAGTAAGTCCTGGAGAATCAACTTTGTACTGAAATTAAGGAAACAGTCAGTGAAACTCTGAGATTCAGCCATTTTAATTAAATATTTGACAGCTATTTCAGCCAACCCTGGATTGCAGACAGAACTGAAATTTGAGGAAG